GAGCTTAAATGTAGTCCCTCTATTCTGATAGAAAGGGAGCCTAAGGAGGGTGGCTAAATTTCACGTAACTCTGTATCTTCTTTCCAGCAGTGTCTTATCATTAATGAATAAGACAAAATAAGGCAACAGAACAAGCTAAAACATGACAGCAGACAAAGGACGTGAGCTTGAGAATTTGTTTAACGTGACTGCAATAACAAAACACGAAGTGCAAGCTGAGTCCTGAGAGGAGAAGGAATCAAGCGTTTGTGCTCCAAGTGGCAGGGCTTGTGTGACCCTGGCACGTCCCTCTCTGTTTTAAATGCAGGTTGCAGCCCTGGCCTCGTGCCACTACAACTACGGAGTCAGCGTGATCGTGGGAGTGCCCCCTGCAGCACAGAATATCACTTTTGACCCCATGCTCCTCTTCAGTGGTCGCACCTGGAAAGGGTCTGTCTTTGGAGGTGAGAACTTGGAAAGATGCCATTTAACTGGCTTGGGAACTTGTAAATCATCTTCAATCAAAGCAGATGTATCTAAATTTGCTGCTTAGCTTGTCCTGTTATACTACTGATAGCGGGACATACTACTGATAACTATTTTGCTGACCAAGTAGCACAAAGGGAATTCATTAAGGAGACTCACTTATCAGAAGTGGTTACTGGAGAGAGAAAAACAGAGAGGAAGGGGAAGGGAGGAAGAGAGAGAGAGAAGGGAAGAGATTAAAAAAAAAAATAATCTGAGAATTTAAGTCCCTGTTTTTGCCATTTTCACAAGCATTTAATGGTTCATTATACATTGCCTGTGGATTTCTTTCAGGCTGGAAGAGCAAAGATTCAGTCCCCAAGCTGGTTGCTGACTACATGAAGAAAAAATTTGTTCTGGACCCATTAATAACCCACACCCTTCCTTTCAGTAAAATCAATGAAGGATTTGATCTGCTAAGGGCAGGGAAGAGGTAAACACTGCTTAATTATAGAAGTTCTGTATAAATGATGTAAATAACTTATAAAGAACTGTGGAGTAACAGAGTATGGCTGACTTCATGACAGAGAATGGTGAAAGCAATGCACTGTGCCCCTTAATCTTGCCCAGCACAGTGTGCGTCCATGAGCTGCAGCTGTAGTAACCAAGGCAGTAACACCTTAGCTTTTGAAATGTACGGGATGTTTTCTTTCCTTCCAGAGGAACTTTGGGATTCTGTTTCCTGTCTAGTTTGAGCAAAGAGTCTGAGTGGCAGAGGGAGAAAAACCCACACAGAGCAGCAAACCAGTGCCTACTGTGCTTTGGAAAAGGGCAAGCAACCCAAGGAAACTATGTTTTTGAAATAACCTATGTTTACTGGAAAAGCAACTTACCATTCTTCTTATGGGTTAGGGAACAGAGTCCCAGTGCAATTAGTCCTAAAGCCACTGGGTAGCTTGCCCTAAACTTTAGAGCTTTTCAGAAGGGAAACTGCTTTGTGTATATACGCAGCCAGTATTTGCAAGCTCAGAATTTGGCTCTCATGCATTCTTCAAATATTGTGAGTTCAACTCAGACTGTGTTTTCACTGGGTGTTGCAATCAGAAATACTGTTTGCCAGAGATGTTTGATTAAGATTCACCACGGCAATGACTGAAAATTCTTGTTGGCAGAAGTGGGAAATACTTTTGTGTATTTCAATACATGTAAACATAAAAATCATTTAACAGATGAAGAAGAATTTTGCCCCTGATGCTTTCTTTTAGGTTTGTTCCCAGGTTTTAACTACGCAGCACTTACTCCATTTTGTTGACTGTCTTTATTTTAGATGTGCTGCAAATGTCAGTTTGGGATTTTAGTGTGGCAAACAGGGAAGGTGGCGAGGACACAGACACCATCAGTTTTGCTAAAATACCGATGGTCAACCTGAAGACAGTGACATGTTGCCCCTGGTCATTTACTCAAACATTTTAGTGTTTACTGAATGAAATAGTAGTTCACAATGTTCTGCATAGAGCATGCAAGCACCACACTGCAGTGTACTGCTTAGACTGTTTAGCCAAGACCATTAGAAAGTTCAGATTGCCCTTTTAAACCCTTGCAAGAAAGGGAATTAATTGCCTTTCCTGATTATCTCTGATCTATGCAAATTGTCCCCATACCTTAGATAGGCCGGCTGCACCCTAACAGATGAGGGGATGAAAGCCAAGCCCTACTGTTGAAAAATTAAATTTCTGGCCCCTTTCATCCATCATCCATACCAGAAAGCAACATATCCTGCTTGAGAAAGGAGTCACAGTATATAGCTCAGTTAATTATTTTATTGCATGCTGTTCTTGATCAGAAAAAGAAATAAGAAGAAAAAAAAAAAGCCTTAAAAAGCGAATGGGGATGCTCATACCTGGTGGTATTTTTTTAGGTTTACTGTAGCAGGTGTAGCTCCACTTACAGCCTGTAATTTGAAGGGGTTTTAGACCAAATTAACCAAATTAGACCAAATAAATTAGACCAAATTTTCTATTGGAAAGAAAATGCTTGTCTTTCCAATGCTGAAGGTCCCACTACCCTCCTGGCAGCCTTCAGATCTGCTCTCCTACCCCCTTTCTTTCCTCATTTGATACCAAGTATATTCAGCTTGCTGGACCTTGCTCCATCATTTTCCTACAAGCTGAGGCAGGGGAGGTGAGGAGTACCCTGGTTAAGAGCAATACCCTAGATTTTCAGAGGAAACAGCAGTATTGTGCTGATGTTGTCACAGGGGTTTTCTGCAGTCACTAACTTGTCATTTTATATTGCAGTATTCGCAGTGTCCTGACGTTTTAGGATTCCCAAATGATAAGCAGCAGATGGCTTAGCAGCAGCACAAACTTCATTGTCCTCCAATACAATGGATGCAAATTGTGAAATAAGACATTTCTGAATGATCTGCCACAACCACCCTTGAATAAAAGGATCAAGCTCAACATCCAGACTTCAAACACAGCACTTAAAAAGAAAATAATCATTCCTTCTACTTCAAAGCAGGAATCAGGAAAAATCTCTGTATTGTGCATCAATTTTCTTTTAATAGCCAATGATACTACCATACTCGCTTTTGTCACAGGTGTTATGGAAGGTTTGGCTTTATTTAAACAGCTTTTAACAGGCAATCTTTTAATAAAAGGAAAAAAAAAAAAAAAAAAGCAAACTGTTTCTTTGGATCTTAATAAAGCTGCAAGTTTAACAGCTCACACACCAGGAAATTAAAGTACTACTCAATAAAACTCTAGGTTGGAACTAAGTATCCATCCTGAATGATTTTAGCATCCTCTTATTCCATTACCTGATAGGCAAGGAAAACATGGCAGAGATTAGGATTCCTGGGTGATGTGTGACCAGTGTGTTTGAACTAACGATTTCAGTAAGTAATAGTTAAGTAAATCATAAACTGAGGTACTGGAGAAAGGCTCACTGCTGGATATTTTACCAAATTAATACTTCCAAGCATTTTATGAAGAATGGTTGTGTTATGTTTTGTTTTTTAAATGGTGTATCTTTTTCAGTTGTTTTAGATCTGTTGCCAATCTACACAGGGGTGTCTGATGATCGGAAAACTGAGAATAAATGTATGAATGTGCGTCGATTATTACTTGTTTCCATTAAATAGAGGGAAGGGTGCCAGGCCTTTAAGTGTGAATACAGAAGAAGAAACAGGAGACAGGTAGCAGTGTGGCAGAGATCAAAGAATGAATCATAATGCTTTCTGCATCCGTGACATGGAGACATGAACAGAAGCTATTTCTACCTCAGAAAACATGGTCAATATTGACTTAGCTTTTAAAAGAGATGGTAGCCACTTACAGCACTGATCAGAGCTTGCCTGGTAGCTGGGTAAAAGAGCCTGTGATAGAAGAGGACAGTGTGCTAACGATGACTTAGCTGTTTGTGTCAGCAAAAAGGGGCTTCGAGCAGCCCAGCAAGGTTAATGATTTGAAGACAGGTTTGCTAAGAGATTAGACCTTAACAGAAAGAGCTGCTTAAATATGTGTGCATATCATAAACTCAGTTTACATTGCAATTAAGACCCAAATACCAATCATTTGTTTCTGTGTGGTTACCTGTGCGGTCAGGTCTGAAGGTTTTTTGTGGGCCATAAAAAAAATTCCTTTTAGGTGCAGTTCAGCTACAGGATTATCTTTTCCAGGGCAGGCTACGTGTGAACCAACAGCATGAACTGGATCACTGAAACACTGGAAACAGAGGGAGAGGGGTTTTAATTCTGCTTTAACTGATCTCGTCTGGAGTAACATGGATTCAGTAGAAACAAGAGTGTCTCAGTTCACACAGAAAACATTTTCTGTGGGGCCAAAACTAATTTACTGTATCAGCTAAGAAACATCTAACTCATGGTCTAAACAGAAGACAACGAAGGTTTGTTTATACATAGCTTGTGGGGATAGAAAGAAGTACAGAGAAGTAAATTATACTCCCTGTACAAGATACATGGTGTTTCTGCAGTATATCCTATTTCCTGAAGTTTAGAAAATATAATAACAGGATCTGGAGTGGACGATGGACAAAAAAAGCAAAACAAAAACGGAGTTAGGAAATACGGTACAACAAACCTCCTTGCTTCTGTCCTGTCCATGAGCGTGCAAAGTCCATTTCCATTCCCTATCTCCCAAGCACAGTAAACATCTGCTAGTAGCATCTTTATAGCTTTGCTGGTTGGGGACTGGAACACTGAAAAAACAAAAGAAACCTCTGAAATCATACTGATCTGAACTACTGCAGTTGACCAAACCCCAAACCTTGGTGGACACAGATCTGAGAGAACGGAGGGCGCTGGCAGAAGGGGAACAGCTCACAAAATGGTTGCAAAGTTACGTAAATGTGTCCTAGGAAAATCGGCCCTTGCTGACACGCTCTTCGCGGTACCCAGGGGAAAACAGCTGCGGTATACAGAGAGCTAAGCTGGACTCCAAAAGGCCGGGTGTGTTTATTCGCCATACCATGCTCTCAAGGTCTTCTTTTCTGCTGTAATTATTAATCCTTTCACAAATAGCTGGGGGAGAGCTACTGCCCGGCCAAAGGTTGCCCCTCGGCAAGGAGTGGAAGCCCGAGCGGTGCCGTGAGTCTCCTCCCTGCAGCCCGGACCCAGCCCCTGGAGGCTGCGCCTTTCAGGGGGCACAGGGGACTCCCTGCTCGCAGGGGAACCTCCCGCTCTGCTCTCCGCCAGCTCTGGTCCCTCGCCAGGCCGCCCGCCGTGCTCCCTGCTTCCCCCTCCAGCTGCAGCCGCGGGGCCAGGAGCGCTCGGGGCCTCGACGCCAGGTGCGGGTCCGGCCACACAGACGGCAGCTCACCTCCAGCCTGCGCCACCACCGGCTCCTCTCAGCCCACATGGCCACTTCTGGAAAAGTAAGGACGCTCGCTGCCCTTCTCCCCACCCCAAGCCCAAGGCGAAGCTCCCCAGCAGCCTCACTCCCTCTCCTTGCAGGTCATCCGGTGCAGAGCTGCTGTTGCCTGGGCAGTGGGCAAACCGCTCTCTCTCGAGGAGGTGGAGGTGGCACCCCCAAAGGCGCGTGAAGTCCGTGTCAAGGTAAAAGCAAGGGCTGTCGAGCGCCAATGCCGGCTGCAGCTTCTCTCCTCTAGGGAAAAGACTGCTGACATGATTAAATGCAGACCATTTGGGAACGTGCCAGCTTGTAGGTAAAGGCGCAGACCTGTGCACAGCGGTGCTCTGGGAAGGTGGAGGGCTCACAGCTGGCAGTGGCTGTCCGATGCCCTGCCTGTCACAAACATCTCCCCAGCTTCTGGCACTGATGCTGTTCAGGCCAAGAGGAAAGGACAGTCTGCACGGGATTATCAGATTCAGTTCCAAAACAGTGCAAAGGGCTGCAATTTGTTCTCTCCTGCTAAGTTACACCACACTATTTCAGACACAGCCACCTAGGACCACCCATTCCCAGAAACCGGAGAGCCAGACAAATGCCACCAAGTAATCCCCAGCCCCTGCAGCACAGTGCAGAGGAAAGCCATGCAAAGCCTTCAGCATGAGCAGAAGGGCTTGTGCCTGGGCTGGGCACAGAGGTACCAGCATGAGGCATCAGCACCAACCATGGTGACACCCGAAGAAATCACATCTAACTGCTGGCTTCAAAAAAGACCAGGCTCCTTCTACAGCTCACCTGCTCTTTCCTCTCCAAACAGATCGTGGCCACAGGGATTTGTCGCACGGATGACCACGTTATTGAAGGCAGTGTTGCTGATATAGATTTCCCAGTCATCCCTGGCCATGAAGGAGCTGGGATTGTGGAGAGCATTGGGGAAGGAGTGACCTCTGTGAAACCAGGTAACCAGCTCGCACCCGGGACTCAGCTCTCAAAGCCCATGGGGCTGCCCAGAGCTCGGAAATAGCCCCCAGCAGCCTGGAGCCATGACCCATGACTGTCTGCACACCAGTACCACTGGACCACCACACACACTTTCCTCATCTGCTCCCCAAAGTGCCCAAATCAGGCTCTGAATTTTTCCTGCGGGCAGAGGAAGCAGAGGGTTCATGCCAGGCGCTGTGACGGGCGGCACCCTCCAGGCTGCCGAGTGAGAGGCACCTGTTATAAATGGCTCAGGATTCAAATTAGGATTAAATAAAAAAATAGGATTTATTAAAAGAATATAAAGGAATAGAGGTAAGCAAACAGCGCTGGGTGCACCAGGAGTCTCCGCTCCACCAGGATGCACACCAGTTACATCAAGCAGCTGATTTTTATGCACCTAGACTAATACATATTCATTACTACTTCTAAAAAAAATAGATTATTATAATTAGCTTCCGGGGTCCAGTTCCTCCTACTGGAGCATGCGCATCAGTCTCCTCTGGGGGTCTCTAGGGGTCTTTCATGCTGAAGGCTCGTAGTCTTCCTCTCACCTTTGTACTCACTCGGCACTATTCCAAGTTTATGGAACGCTCTCTGCACACTCTCTGCAGGTCTTGTCTCCCAACTGTCCTTCAGCTTCTTTTTTCTTCCTCTTAATCTCTTGGCCCCCCTGGCCAGATACCAAGGATCCACATAGTATCTCATAACAGTCACCAGCAGTCACCAGTTATTATCAGTTGTTCTGAAACTCCCAAACAGCTTGACGACTCACAAGCAATTAAAATATTCTTTCCCAGCTATTCACAGTCATCTATATAACATCTATAGCAGTGTTAAATCAATCTCGAAGAAGACAGAAAAAAACTGTAACTGTTAGAACTAGAAGTCAGGAATAACAAAAGCAAACAGGTTCATAAATTTAAGGAGTATTTTCTGAAGACGTGATAAATTGACTAGAATGAGGGGGAGACTGGGACACACTGCGTCTGTGGTTCAAGAATTAAATTGCCAGTGCAGGACCCAGAGGCAGACAGGATTCAAACAGAATTGTTCTTTATGGACACGAATTGTTAACACATTCCTCACAATCCCTTATCTTCTTTTTAATATCAACAATTCGTGTCTCTTCTGTTGTTAACTGGATTTCATCAGTCCGTTCTTGGAGGGTCCAATTCTTAAGCATCATAATTGACATATTCCCTTCCTTTTTTAACGAAGTTATTACCAATGTACTATTTATCACCCGGTGTATTAATAGTGTAAGACAAGGTATCATACAAGGTATAAACAATAACATCTTTACACCACATAACAATAAAAATAACACTCTTTTAACCCATGGTCCACCAGGCAGCCATTAAAATAAATCCCATTCCATATCCTTCCAGGTTTGTGTTTGCTCGCTCACCTCCCCCCTCTCCTTCTCTGGGATGGGAGAGAGAAATGGGAAAGTGAAGCCTGTGAGTTGAGATAAAACCAAGAAAATAATAATAATAATAATAACAATAACAATAATAATGATGATAATATTACTACTAGTAATAATGTATACGAAACAAGTGATGTACAATGCAATTGCTCACCACCTGCTGTCCGATGCCCAACCTAACCCCGAGCAGTCCGGCCCTCCTCCCAGCCTGCCTGCTGGCAGGACAGTGAGAAGCTGAATTTGGCTTGGTCCTTGGCTTGGTGTAAGCACTGCTCTGTAACAATTCAAAACAATTAAAACATCAGCATATTATAACATTCTTCTCATCCTAAACCAGAACATAACATTCTATCAGCTACTAGGAAGAAACACCCTTTTTATCAATCTTTAAACAGCAATTACTAAAGCTAAATTTTCCACAGACTTCTCCTTCTTGTGCTAGTAAATAATCCAAAACTAGGCAATTTTGATACAAAGCAGTTCTCATCATTTATAACTATTTCTATTACAGCCAATAACCTAATTATTCTATTAAGTATATATACTGGGGTCCTATAGTCCCAGGATCTGTCTCCTGCCCACGTATCTGGATTATAATAGGCAAACACCTTCAGGGTCGATTCAGGCTTGTGTTACCGTTCGGCCTGTCAGGGTGATCCAGCTCCTGGAAAACGAATCACAATTTTATATAGGTTAAAAAAAAAGGTTCTTATGTTATTTTCTCAGGACAACCTGACCTTAGTGTGGAAGAAGTCCAGTCGAGGCCCTCTCACTTGGCAGTCAATACCCATAGGGGTTGCCTCCCTCGGTAGACCATGCACACCGCAGTGGAGAGTCCTGCCCCGGTCTTGCCTTCTCCCTTTCCTCCCTTCAGGCTTGTCCCCTTTATTTGGCATCCTTAATTCATGCAGAGCCTCGTTGCCAGAATATTAGTTCTTCCTTAGCTTGAGTTTCAGTTTCCCAGGAGCGGACTCAACCCTCCGAGTTTCAGTAGTTACTGGTCCTTTTATTCTGGATGCATGGGTCCCTTTCTGCGGTTCTCACAGCTGTTTCAGTAGTCAGTAAAACAAGGTACAGTCCCTCACATCGAGGGTCCAGTGATTCTTCCCTCCCGTGGCTGCTTGTTGAAACACTTTCTTTTTTATCTTTTGACAAGTTAAATAACAGTTATCTAATTTGCTTTGTCGTATGGCCCTTTCCAGGTTCCTGTAGCAGGATTCATCTGATAGCTTTTCATGTTGATACAGATTTGACTACAGATACCAGGGTTTTGGCATTCATCACTATCTCCACAGTTTCCCAGCTGGACAGTCACATTCATTTATGTTGCATTCCTTCAGGGGCTCATCACCCCAGTCCTTGCAGTCTCTCTGCTGGTTACACACTTTATTGATATCTATGCACACAAAGTCAGATTCAGTACACATCTTCTTCACACAAGCACTCTCATCACTGCCATCTGAGCAGTCTTCACATTTTGCTCTAGCACCGTTGGCAGCAGTGCACAGTCAGGCGAAGGCGAGCAGCAGGCAGAGCGCCCCGCACCGTCCCCTGTGTCACTTATACTACTCCTATTACCCATGCTGTTAGTGTCAGTGGCATCCTCCTGGTACCGTTTCTGTCTTTGTCTCCCCCTTTTCTTTTTGTCACTGGCCATTCACCACAAATGGGTAAGACACATGATTACTAATTAGGAAAGAGAGTGTAACATCTGCTATACGGCTGCAGGCAGTGCCAGCTGCAACCTTAGGTTTGTGAAAGAGCCTGCCAGTGGTCATTTGGCAGTGTAATCTGCGTCTCTACACTCCTGCCCTGCAATAGAGCTAAGTCGTCATTAGTAATAGTTATAACACCGACCTGGGGATCATTCCTCACACACCTAACGCTGGCTCTGCTCTCTTCCAGGAGACAAAGTCATCCTCTTTGGCCTTCCTCAGTGCGGGGAATGCTGCTTCTGCAAGAATCCTGACTCCAACTACTGCCTGAAGTCCCAGTGAGTTTGCTTCCCCCCCCCGTTGCCCATGCGGGCTCAGCTCACGCAGGCGAGTGCTCTGCGTGATGAGCGACCCGTGCGCGTGCTCCCAACAGCCTCTCCGTGTCGCAGTGCCTGCTGCCCGACAAGACCAGCAGGTTCACGTGCCGGGGGAAGCAGATCCACCACTTCCTCTGGATCAGCACCTTTGCCGAGTACACCGTGGTGCCGGAGTTCACCCTGGCCAAGATCGACGCCGCCGCGCCTCTGGACAAGGTCTGCTTGCTGGCCTGCGGCTTCTCCACGGGCTATGGGGCTGCCATCAACACCGCCAAGGTTGGTACCCAGCCGTGTCCAGAGCTAGCACCCCGCAGCCACCTGCGTTCCCGCAGAAGCACTCTGCCACAGCCTTCTTCTCCTCCTGCGGGAGGCTGAGCCGGCCCCGTGTCGTGCAGGTCAAACCGGGCTCCACCTGCGCCGTCTTCGGCCTCGGAGGAGTTGGGCTCTCCGTGGTCATGGGCTGCAAGGCGGCCGGGGCCTCTCGCATCATCGGCGTCGATGTCAACAAGGAGAAGTTTGCCAGGGCCAAGGAGCTGGGGGCCACCGAGTGCATCAGCCCTCGGGACTTCCAGAAGCCTGTTCAGGAGGTGCTCACCGAGATGACCGGCTACGGCGTGGACTACTCCTTTGAGGTCATCGGGACAGCCGACACCATGGTACGTGGCCTTCTGACACAGTGCCCTCCTCTAGCTCATTCACAGCATGAATGATTGCCCATCAGGGCAAATTTCACCACAGCACGAGCTCTGTTGCCTGGTGCCAGCACCTGTGGGCTTTTCTTGACAGAAAAGGCAGTTTTCTGTCTTGGGGAGTAAATCACGTAGGACTCTCAAAATGGGATGGTGCTTTCATTGCACTGAAAGGTTTGCAGATAGCTGCGAGTGGCAGACAACTGAAAAGAAAGAATGCATTTCCCATAAGTGTGCCTGATTCACTTTCCTGTCCCATCAGGTCGCTGCCCTGGCCTCCTGCAACATGAGCACCGGTGTCTGCGTGGTGGTTGGAGAGGCACCATCTGGTTCAGTGGTTCCCATGGATCCTTTGCTTTTTCTAAGTGGCCGAACCTATAAAGGGACTCTGCTTGGAGGTATGGAAGTAAAGGAAAGATTTCAGACATTTGAGTGTTGTCCTTTCACAGTAATTCCTGAACTGCCTGTAGAACAGTTACCCTCTAAGGATAAATATATACGTGTATATATATACACGTATATATATATGTATATACATGTATATACATGTATATATGTACACATATATATGTATATATACGTGTATATATATAATTATGCACGTATATATACATATATATATGTGTGTATATATATATATATATATACACACAAGTAATAATAGAAGCATTTCTCCAGTCACTCACTGCGGGTGCTTTCTCCCCCTTCTCTAGGCTGGAAGATGAGAGACTCCATCCCCAAACTGGTCTCCAGCTATCTGGAGAAGAAATTTAACTCTGACTTGCTGATCACGCACACGCTGCCTTTCGCTAAGATCAACGAGGGCTTTGAATTGCTACGTGCAGGCAAAAGGTGAGGATGTGGCTCACAGGAGCGAGGCTCTCTCCATGAGGCAGTGCCCAGCTCGCTGCCCTCAGCCAGCGCCCAAGCAGTGGCAGCAGGCAGGGCCCCGGTCCCGGTGCTGGGAGGCCCTGCTGTAAGGCAGAGGGAAGACCTCCACCTTCCAACACCTCGCTGCGGCGTTGGAAAGCAGAGTGAGGAGGAAGGGGCCATCCGTGGGGACCTCGCAGACTGTGCCTTCAGGCTGAGGCACAGGAGCTGCGGGGTGGGACGGGGTGCCTCAGGCTTTCCTTCAGCGCCCTCGCTGAGCTCAGAAGAGGCTGGGGGAGAGCTGAGGTGGCCGGTCCCTGGCCGCACCTGCCTGCCCCTCTGCCTGCTCCTGAGCACTGCGGCAGCACCTCCGGTAACTGCTCCCTTCTTCTCCCTTTCAGCATCCGCACCGTCCTGCTCTACTGAGGGACGCGGCCGAGGGAGGATGAGCGCGGTCACTCCAGACCCTTTCATTTGAACACGAGCTTCTTCTCATCAGCATCTCAATGGCTTATTCTCTCTGAATTTTCTTCCCTTCAATTTGTATTTATAATCTGTGCATACTGGGGCCTCCTGAGCAAAATCTGCTGGCTTTTCTCCTGATCTAGTTGTGCTTTTTGGGTAACAGCCTCAGAGAAAGTTAGGGAATGGAACCACAAAGAGAAATTGAACAGTACATTTATGTCCCATACATGTCTATGGCAACAGCAGTATGATTCTGTGGGAGCTACCAACATCACAATTGTTCTGGCAACAGCATTTGTTTTCTGCACAGAACGAAACACAAGCATATGATAGGATGGACTCAAAATTAGCAACTGCTGTAAGACTCCTGTTCTCTACTGTAATGCTTTCTAAATTGCAAAACTCAATAGGAAACAAATGGGTTTGCTCCCTAATGTATACATGAAGAAGCATCGGAGTGTGAAACATCACTCTCTACTGATGCTTACACACTGCTAGAAGTGAATGTAGACGGCACCCAGCTCTCAAGCAGACCACTGCTTAAAAATATTTTTGTTTTCTGTTTCACTGTATGTCAGTCTGTACTGTTTTCCTGAACTTGAAAGGTGACAATCACATTCTATTCCTCAGCAAGTGTGCCCTTTCCAAGACTTTCCTACTGTGGAATAAACACAAACACAAATGTCAGTCAGTTTTTGCTTTTAGCACTCCATAAACTAGCCCTTTGTAAGCCTAGCATATTATCTGAATAATCCTTGGATTGATTTTAAGACAAATACTCTTATGGTGGGCTTATACAAATCTTAGGATAGGCATGCCAGATACTCTTTGGTGATTCATATCTTAAGGGCAAGCTAGTTCCCATTCAAATCCAATGCATCACAAGATAGATTTTCTTGGGACATCCTGCAAGTTTGCTAAAACCACAGTCTGCTGATTGAGAGATTAAATGAATAAATAAATAAATAAATAAATAAATTTAAAGTAAATGATGCACTTAAAAACAGAGTTTGAATGATTCTTGAGAGAGCCACGTAGATTGGACCTTTTCCCAATGCAGCATCAATTCTCTGGATCATTGCTGAGAGAAAACTTGTGCTTAAAGGCCTCCAGCAGTGATCTATTCAATTATCATTTTACAGTGCATCAAACTGTTGGGTTACTGGCATCACGTACTCTTGGGTTACCTGGCACCACAAGAGGCCATCAATCAGACTGATGGTAATCTCCCTTCCCATTTTTTAAACCCTACCACAAAGCAACCTCATGTTCGGTTGATCTTTTGCCGGTGTGCAAGTTTTAGCTTGGGGTTTAAGTTATACACGTCTCTCATCAGACCACATTTCTACTAATCAATAAAAATTATAACAATTCTAATATTTCCTTACTAATACTTCCATAACTGGACCAGTATTGGATGGGAAACGTGCACTATTAGAAAGATCGAAATGGTCAGAGAAGACTGCACATGCTCTTACACATCTGCAAGTAGAAGTGTCATGGTTTTACTTCAGTATATATGCAAACAATGAAAAGGTCTGCCCAAGTTGCTGACTTCTGAAATTAATAAGACATATACTAAACCCACAAGATCTCCTTAAGGCAGCATAGCCTATGAGCTGTGACAAATAAAAATGATTTCTGACTATTAATTTTGTTCCCAGTCCACTGCTTATGGGCTGTACTGCTCTGAACTTCAACTAGGAAAGTCTGGGTCTAGCCTGAGAAACACGTACTCCCAAATAATTACACCACTAACCTGCAAAGCAGCAATCTTTTGCTGTGGGAATTGTCTCACTGTGTAGACAGAATTTGTATTCTATGATAACCGCAAAAGACTATACATTACACCTGGTTCAAAATCAGCTGAAGACAAATGGCTGTAATTCCATTCAGTGTTTTGCAAGCGTTCAATTAACTGCTGACCGTACTGAATAACGGTGCTATGCTTACAAGTTATACCACACTGTTGTCAGATTTCAGCAGCGTTTGTGTGCCTTTTGAGATCAACACAGCTTGTAAGATGTTCCCAAACTGATAGCCTTTAGTCTGCGTGAGTTTCCTGTGACGTCCTTCAAGTTAACAAACTCATCTTCAAAACAGAATGGAGTATTGGTTTGTAGTCACCAGAGCAATACATCCAAACCAAGAAACAAGCAGTTCAAAATAAATAGTGCATGGGCATTTGTGTAAGAACAGCAAAACTGTGTTTGTACAACTTCAATGTTCAGCTGCACAGAGCCTGTCTGAAAGAGAGTTTATGCACATTTTCTCTTGCAACTCCCATAGGTCTCAAACACTCAGTCTTGACTGCAAAACGTGCTTGCGCCAGAGCTTCCAGTGTGGCTACAGATGTCCTTCAGCATCCGTGCCCTGCAGAGCAGGCAGGGAACACACTGACTGAATGGCAGTGGGACTGCTCCCAGAGTCCACAGTGGAAATGGTACTGGAAGTCACTGGGGCTTGCTTTGGAGAAAAATGCAAACAGTAGCAGCAAAAATCACACAACCCCCCCTCACATTTCTCAGTGATCCAGTTCTTCTCCGATCCATGGCACCGCATTCATACTCCTCACATACCAGTGTGGTTGGCTCCATATGATGCACATGGTTGTGCCATGGCACTTTCAGGTGTATTGGACGGATCACTGCCAGAGGTGATGGTGCCCCCTTTAAAGCCCCTGTTCCTGCCACCCTTGACTATGGCTTGCCTCAGATCCTTCCCTGACACTCCTCTGCCACTCTCCCTGGATATGGCATCTGCCCGTTCTGCACCCATGCCTGGTGAGCCTTCTCATGGCCTTTCAAGCTCCCTCACACCTGGCACACACAGTACTGAGTTACCCTTTATGTGTAACATAAACTCAGGATAACTCAGGATATATCATGGAAAGAGCTATCATGAGATGAACAACCACTCTTTATCCGACATTTGTTTTCTTGGGCTGCGTGATTATCAAGGCATTGAAAATTAATATCATCTGTTTTGCACAGCGTTCCCTCCCAATTTTCATAATAATAATAATAATAATAATAATAACAACAACAATAATAATAATAAAAGATGTATTAGTCACCTCCAACAAAGAAACGTGACAAACATGTGCACCAACTCCACTAGAGATTGTACGCAACAACTTTAGGGAGAGGAATCATAGACTCTTGGATTCAGAGAGTGGTCTGTGTTGGAAGGAACCTTAAAGACCATCCCATGCCAACCCCATGCAATGAGCAGGGACACCATCCGCTAGAAAACCTTATCCAACGCCGCTTCCAACTAGATAGACCTTAAGCACTTCCAGGCATGGGACTTCTCTGGGCAACCTGTTCCACTGCCTCACCACCAATGGAAGTGTTTAAGGCCAGGTTGGATGGGGCTTTGGAAACCATTGTCTAATGAAAGCTCTCCCTGCTCGTCACAGGGAGCTGGAACAGGATGGTCTTTAAGGTGCCTTCCAACCCCAATACATTTTGTGAGGCCAGAATACTAACAGCCAGCCTTGTGCACTCAAGGTCAGCTACCCCAAGGCCAGAGACTCCGTAGACTTTCTAGACACCGGTTCAGTCTGAGCACCCCTGTGAGGACAATCGGTTCCTTTTTGCTGCCTGGGCTGTCTCCACCTGCAAGCGTGGGCCTGGTGCTGCTCACCTTTCTGCCACAGAGCCCCTCAGAGAGGACGCAGGCTTCATCTTCTCTACTCCCTCCCTGCAGGCAGCTGTCAGGTCCACCCCTGAGCCTTCTCTCCTTCGTGCTGACCCAAGGAGACCCCTCAGCCTGCCCTTGTATGCCGTGTGCCCTGGCCCCTCACTCCCTCGTGTGCCCTGGGCTGTGCCCACTCCACACCCATCAGGATCTTTCCTGTCTGGGGGAGACCAGAAGGGGATCCCGGAGTTCAGGCAGAGCCACAAAAATGACACCAAATCAGAGAGGAAAGTGGTTGCTTACTGGTTGTTGTTTATTGTTGTTGTTGCAATGCATTTATGTATTTATTATGATTATTCTATCAGTCTGTTGCCCCATAATGGGAAGAGCTGGCACCCAAGCACCTTGAAGGGACTTCACGCTGCACTCCCGCGCTTCTTCCTGGCAGGCCTGAAGACTTCTGCTTCTGCAGAGGAACAGCTGTCTGCGTGCCCGTTTCCAGGGCTCTGCTGCTGCTCTCTGTGCACCGCCATGCAGGGCCAGGCTTCGTCTTCAAGCAGCTCTTGGCAGCCTTCTGGAGACACCCCACGCCCAGCGTGGCCTTCGCAGGGCTTCTCCTGTCGCCCGCTGCTCCAGCCCAGAGGAAGCCGAGTACGCTCTTGCCCAGTGCTTGGGGCTCCGTGCAGAAGAGATGACACTTCTGCAGGAAAGGTGGGGAAGGGGAAGGGGAAGCGGAAGGGGAAGGAAAGGAGGGGGAGGGAAGGGGGGAGAGGCCATGTGCAGGCAATCCGGCATGATGGTAACGGGATGGCCTCTCCCCCCTACACGTGGCGGCGGAGGCAGTGCCGGGAGTACGGAGCGGTCCGGGCGGTTCTGCGATGACGGTGTTGGTGTCTCGCTGGTGGGAGCCCTGGCACGATGGTGTTGTGCCACACCAGATGGGATGGAGGTGGATCCACCTCCATCGGCTCTTCCTCCTCCACGGGTGGATCCACCTCCATGGGCTCCACACCATCCGCCGCGGCCGCTCCGTCTCCACTGGCGCTCCTCCGCCTCCACTTCTTCGCAGGCTCAACAGCCCAACTCGCCTTTGACCCACGCAGGGGTGGGCAGCTGTCGCCCCAGGTTCTCTTAATCGCAGCCATGCCTGGCATTCTCTAGAGATCCTGGGGGATCAGCGAGGGGGGGGCCAGGCGCAGGGGCTTTTATAGGCCCCAGGACAACGCCGGGGGGCAGATGCCACTGTGACATCAGGAGGCCTCTGTGATGGCCGCAGTGATGGCGCCACGCCCCAGGCCCGACATGGCCGTGTTGGGAGGGGGCTTCTGAAAGAGGCCTGAAAGAGGCCCTGGGGTGGGAGAAGGAGGATGGTGAAAAAAGCTAAAACTTGCACACTAGCAAAAGATCAGCCAAACATGAGGTAGCTTTGTGGTAGGGCTTTAAAAGATGGGAAGGGAGGTCACCGTCAGCCTGATTGATGGCCTCTCGTGATGCCAGGTAACCCAAGAACAGGAGATGTGTCCTCTCACTTAAACCCCATGCAAGTTTTAGCTTGGGCTTTAAGTTATACACATCTCTCATCAGACCACATTTCTACCAATCAACACAAATTATAACGATTCTAATATTTCCTTATTAATACTTCCACACCTGGACCAGTATTGGATGGAAAACTTTTAACACTAGAAAGATCAAAATGGTCAGAGAAGACTGCACATGCTCTTACACATCTCTAAGTAGAAGCGTCATGAACACATGAAACACCAAAATTGTGTTTGTACAACCTGCTAGACTGCTTGTGCATAACCCAAATGCTGAGGTACTATCTAATTGCCCAGCCTTTTCCACATCAGTAAGTCAGGTGCATGTGATTAGCTACTTGGGTATTTCAACCATATTTTCCTTTGAACTCTCCATCTCATCACGTTTTTATTCAGAAGACATTGAATCAATTTCCAGTATCGCTACTTAGACAAAGTAGCTACATAGACAAAGTAGCAAAGTAGCTTAGACAAGGTAGCAAGCTTTGCTTGCCTGTCTCTCTGGCAAGCAAAAAGGCCCAGGAAAGGGGCCCCCAGCACCCTAGCCATCCTCCTTCCAGACCAGGGCCTCTTTCAGGCCTCTTTCAGAAGCCCCCTCCCAACACGGCCATGTCGGGCCTGGGGCGTGGCGCCATCACTGCGGCCATCACAGAGGCCTCCTGATGTCACAGTGGCATCTGCCCCCCGGCGTTGTCCTGGGGCCTATAAAAGCCCCTGCGCCTGGCCCCCCCCTCGCTGATCCCCCAGGATCTCTAGAGAATGCCAGGCATGGCTGCGATTAAGAGAACCTGGGGCGACAGCTGCCCACCCCTGCGTGGGAA